AGAGCTTTAAATTGCAAAGATCTGAGGGGCACTGCCACTGCGCCCGTCACGCTGAGACATAAGTTGGCAAGTCCCTTATGACTAAACACAGATTTTCTACGATAAATTTAGGTTTAAAAGCTCTATATAGTGTTAGTAACAACTGGAAAAGTATGTTTTAATATTTATTTATTAATGCGATTCCCCTGTAGAAAGGCTCGAGGCGCAGCTACCGGCTTGGTGCCGTGTGCAGCTGCATCCAGCGCCCCACCATCGGAGAGTCCCATCTAGCGGCAATGGTGCTAAGGATACCATCCGTGCTGCCTCGTAGCCGAGTCAGGAGTGAGGCACAACGCTTTCGTATGACTGAATAAAAACAATCTGTACGAGGCTCAGCAAACATAGTGGAGGCACTACTATAACGCGACAACTTAAATAGCACCCTAAAAGCATTATTATATTGGACGCGCAGTGCGCCGTATGCAAGCTGCGTAAAGTTGACCCACAGGCTACACGTGTAGAAGGACTGGCAATATGCTTTGAAAAGCAAAACCTTAATCTGGTCGCTACTACGTGAAAAACTCCGTGCCAACATATTACACCGTACAGACAGCGCCCTGCGCTCGCGTTCTATATCTAAATTATCATTTGTCATCAGTGACCCAATGTTTAAACCGTTCCACTTTTTGTAAGGGAATATCAGCAAGTTTAACCGGAGGCACAACAGAATACGATTTAGTGCCTGGCTTGAAAATCATAAGCACGCTCATTTTAGAATTGTACCTAAGTCCATGGGTCTCTGCATACAACTCACATATACGCAACAATCTACGGAGGGCACTAATCGAAGGGCTCAGTAGCACCATGTCATCAGCATAGCTAATATTATTTATACAGACTCCATCGATATGGCAACCGATTCCAGTGCCACTGAGCACTCCGATGAGACGGTTCATATACAGATTGAAAAGGCGCGGTGAACTCAACCCTCCCTGTCTCACCCCACATTCCAACCTGTATACTTCCGAGTGCGTACCTGCCCACTTGACAATATTCTTCTGATTGCTGTACCAATATCCCAGCATAGACACAACTTCTTTGGACACTTTGGTATCACAATGCAGTTTTCGCCACAAGGTATTATTTATATGACACTAAATCGAATGCCAAAAAGCATGCGTATACTGGCGTCATTCTGGCCGTATAGTACTGGACAGTCTGTTTGAGGCATAGAACAGCTGTTTAATGATTCGCTAGCTACCTTTAAAAAAAATTAAAAAATATTTTATTAAAAACTCTGACTAATCTGTTTTGTTCCACGCCATTTATTTAAAATTTTAAAATCTTATTCGAACGTAGAGATTATATTGTTTTTGCTTTTTCTTTTTTAACTGTAAAGAAAATTGTAATTATAAATTATAAAGAGTAATTTAATGATTAATTTTCATATATTCTTGAATCTGATAGCTTGCCGTGTTAGCCAATAAATATGGTCTATATCTACCTTTAAACTTTGTAACCGTTTTGCTTTTGCTATTGTTATGTATGCATCATGTTGGCTTTATTATACAATAAAAAAAAATTAATCTTTGTTTTTTATATGTGTAATAAATATAATAGTGACTACATAAATAACTATGTAAAGTAATAGGGTTAGAACGATCAACAATGGCTGTATTCTATCTTTATTAGGATAGTATAAGTGTGATAAACCTCCCTGTGACAATATTTGTTTCAGTTGATAAAACTAAGTTTGCTTATTTGGTAATGAACTACTGTTATACATTTTGAAGAACAAGGACAACGATATGAAATTGCATATATACCTATCTTTGTCGTTTAATCATCGCCGCGAAAACGATGAAACAAAAAATGTCGAGATTTTGTGGTTTCCGTTTTTGCATTATATTAGTTATTATTTACGTTTTTATTTTATTACGTTACTTTTTATTTCTAATAACTCTCGAACTGTATTAAAAATGTTCTCCTCACCTCTTTCCAATAATGTATATATATCAATTTGTTTGTTTTTATTATTTCTTTTCATCTCGTTTATCGCGCTCAATTTTTACGTTGATAAAATTACTGTTAAGAACTGTCAAAATGTTTTAAAATCAGCTGTAACCTTGCAGCTAAGTTTGGCACGTTAATCTTTTGCTGTCATTGGTCGCGGTGCCCGCGACAACATAAAAATGTAACGTCACGGTGCTCGTGATGTTAGCTATTGTGATAAAATTTTAAAATACCGGTCTAACACTCGAATTTGAGAGCTAAATGTGGATAATAGCTTTATCGAGAAGGCATACAGTTGGGCGACCTCGTTCCATCGCAGACCTTATCTTTGATCCAGGGCTAGGCAGTAGTTAAAAGCAAGTCTTCCCATTTACTTAAAAAAAATACTATCGCCTGGTTACACCCTTCAATCTCGTCTAGCTCACACGACCTACATTCCGACCTCATCGCCATTGCAAAATTACTCTCTTATATTGTTGTATAGTGAAATGTGGCTCGTGTGTCTAAGCACATAAAGTAGTAAAATATAGTATGCATTACTATCTTTGTAATCAATCATCATATTATTCAAATTGGAATATGAAAAATCGATCGACACGTTTGCAGGAAGCCTAATTCATAGCGAGGTCAGTGGTCGGATGAAATATGATCGAGTGTACTTCGACTTAAATTCGAGATCATAATATTGTTGACACATCTCAGGATCGAATTACCAATTGAGTAAGGACAAAACAGCACAGAGCACCTGATGATTACATAATAATCTATGGACTTCTATATACGTAATTGAACACTTATTGAGATTGTTGGTAATAATTTTGAATAACTAACGTGTTAGTACAGGGTTGTATGTAATTATAACTTTTATAAATTTAAAAAGAACCGACCTTGAAAGGTTTGAAATTACACCTATTTGCCAAATTTTATTGGACTCGGTTAGCAGAAAGTGGGTGAAATCCAATGAATCGGTTTCATTATCTAATTTGCCACCCTGAGAGGTGGAATATTTTCTTTAAATTTGAATTGGACCACTACTGAGATATCTCCTTTCCGATAATAAAATCATCGGTTCAAAACTGTCGGAGTTATCGCGTAACATACAAAAAAATACAGTCAAATTAGAACCTTGAAATCGGAGAAAAGGAATGAAGGGGAACAGGATTTTGTAATTGAAATTTAAAGAACTTTACAATCGAATGAAAATGATTTTTCCGTAAATGAAAGTAGTAAAAAAATTAAAATTTTCCGGAATTTTTTTTTTTTTTTTTATCGAGCGAAGTTCACTACCGGTATCTTCCGTTTACATTATCAATCAAATTAAAAAACAAGTTGAATACATTACTTAGGTGTGCATGCTTCATCGTCGACCTCATAGTCACTTTCCATCAAATGAGATGGAGGTCAAATACGCGCTTATTTAAAAAAAAATACATATTTCTTACATCGCAAAACCCATTTTACGTCAAAATATCTATTTCACCTTATGGAACGTAATTGAATGAATGGATGAGTAATTGTGTTGCTGTGTCTGAAAAATACAGACATAACGGGTATTAAGTTACATTGGTTTACTAAAATTACAAGTATTTAGGTTGAGGCTTTAATGCATGACTTGATTGGATCAATTGACTTTGAAATATATGTAATTTAATATTACACAAAATCGAATTTGATACTTTGAACACAAATGTACGGCCAGCGACATGGTAAATGTATAAATAATATTAACTTGAGTTTAATATAACTCTATTAATGAAAGATTACGTAGTGACCAGTATAGAGAGGATACTTCTGTGTTTTGCTCAAATTTGGCCCAAGACTAACATCACATGTAGAAAGAAACAATGTTGGTAAATTGACGGCATAAATTTATAGAGCGTAGAGATATCTCGGTCTGATTGGGCGTCGTTAAAAAGGCCGGGTTAAAAATACCACGAATAAATGGGCATGTCTTTTCAAATGGAAGTTTGTCAGGAGAGTAGCAGATAGAGGTACATGGTCTCTCCACTCTATTAATATTTAGAAATGCTGCTTACTACCTTGACAACAAGGTATTGTGTCCTCCTACATTTTGTCGAAGATTGCGATGTAATTATTAGCTAATACGTACAGTCGTCGCCTGTAACATTATATGTACATAAAAACCGATGGATACCGAAATTACGGAACTTGACTTCAAATGCGTGTATTCATTTCATTGCAACGTTGACGCCTTACCACCTAAGGGTAATATTTGTGTGCAGGTAACGGCAGACATTAGGAGCAACCCGCAGCTTGCTTGTTCGATTTTAATATTAAGAAAAGATTTTTCCAAAAAAAAGGGTCAACAGAACAAGTGATCAGGCTAGCTACAATTTCAAATTTCAGCTTGCAAACAAGACTGTTTTTAAGTTGACAAGTGATAGTATCTATTTTATTAAATAATAAATTACAACTTTTTTGTAAAAAAAACAGACGTTAAAAGTTCGTGGAATTACATGTATGCCAAGTTTTATTGAAATCGGTTACCGGAAACTACGCGAAACCGATTTCATCGCCTAGTTTGACACCCTATAAATAGAAAATTTTCTTAAAATTTAAACAGGACCAATACTGGAGTCCCTCTTTCCAACAAAAAAAGAATCGTCAAAATCGGTTCACAAATACCGGAATAATCACGTAACATATGTACAAAAAAAATACAGTTGGATTAAGAACCTCCTTCTTTTTTTTTGAAGACCGTTAAAAACTAGCTTTGACACCGAAACGATGGAACTAGTAACGATGTTTTCACCTCTATCTAACGTTATGAATGATGATAAAAGAAAAATAGTTCTCATAAATTCATTTCAAAGAATTATTTTCAACTTTTCTTTAACAAACGTGTTCGTTTAAAGCAATAAGCTTCTTATATTAAATTCTTTAATATAATTAAGACGTAAATACTATATGATAACAACAAATTTAAAATAAGTAAGAATAATTAAAGATATATTTTTTATCTTAACATTTTCTTTCTTTTGTTTCAGTCATGGCCTTACTTCTTTATATTTATGATCCTAGAACACATAGTCTTAAGACTAGAAGGTAAAAAAGGAATTAGACTGAATGATGGCATCACTAGCATATCACTTGGAATCTTCCAGGAATGTGGCAGGTATGATTTTTTTTTCTATTCTTTAATCACTTTATTTGAAATAATAGCAATGTAACAAAAGTAATAATGTATTAGCGGATCATACTAACCCTTATCTTAAAATAGGTAATTCGCTGTACCTACCGAGAGGCGAACCAGGTACATTCAGCAGTCAAAGTGCAAACAGTTGTGCCACTAATATTTTGCACGCGTAACGGTTAACGTTAGGAAAGACTTTCTTATATTAGAAATATGTGCTTTTTCCACGCTAGAGTGGAAAAGGTTGATGATGGACTATGACGCACCTAACTTTTCTTTCGATGAAAAAAAAGATAATGACACGTTCAAGTACGCGATTTCTCATACATTATTTAATGAATCCGTTGATATATGTTATTCCTATTATTGTTAGCATTAAATTGACAACGGTAACTAATATTGTTTATTAAATTATTCTAATTCGTCGAAGAACTAAAGATATTTGTTATAGTATAACTCTTTTTTTTCATTTACCACTTTCTTCGGAGATGAAAAGTTATGTGTTTCGCTCGGCAGCAAAGTTGTTCTGCATCTCGTACCTTGAAACGCTCGCTACGCTCAGGAATCTATTTTTGAACCACTCACGACTTTGCAGCCTTGCATAACAAATAGCTTTTATCGAAATTGAGTTATATGCTTATGTTTCTACATAATTTACATGTATATAATATATATATATATATTATATATATATATATATATATATATACTATAATATATATAATATATATATATATATATATATATTTGAGATCAGGAAAAAAGTCAATCTACCTTATTTTTGTAGAAATCTATCTCAATTGGATAGACAGTAAGCTCATAAGGCACAACTGACATCAATAATCACATTTTTTACCATAAAAAGTCACGTTTGACGTTTATACTAATATAAAAGGAATATACATTGTATGGCCGCCTGGCGATAAGTGACACGCCTGTCAATAACAGTTACCGTACCATCGAGTGCTTTAAATCACAGGCGTGTTCTCAGGGCGATTGCTGTGTGAATACTGAGGCTATGCGTCTTTTAATAAACGCTTAAAAATATATATCATGTGAACACCTCGCTGTCTATCCGTTTATAATCGAATACGTTAAAAAATATTACAAGACAATGGCGTGTGAACCAAGGCTTACCCGGAACGCAGTAATGTATACAATACTGCTTGACTTAGAAATAGATCAGGTGGCTAAAAAAATTTATATTAGCTAGGCAGGGAAACCAACACTTCACATGCACTAAACTTAAGTATGTCTTAATCCGATGCTTGCAATGCAAAAGACACTCTTAATACATTGTGTTAAGAGTGTTTTATCAAATTTAATGTCTCATAAGCTTATAAGCACCGTATTTAGTAGCGAAGCGCCTTCAGGGCTTGAGTGTCGTTTATTGCAATATAAGCTCTACTAGTAATAGAAAGCACATACTGTAAATAAATAAATAAAATTAAATTTTAGATAAAAATATATTGAAAGCAAATTGGAACATTAAAACAATTGTGAATTAACAAAAGTAAAAACTAACAAAAAAACCAAAAACTATATGTCGTTGACACATACTAAATACATGATTTCATCTATACTAATGTAATAATTAGCAAACTGCTTGGGTGTTTCAAAATATTACTAACGCCATCCAACGGTGAGCGACGGAACTAAATGTAGGAAGACTCATAATATGCTTGTTATGGCACGTATTTCAACAATTTAAATTATATATTAAAATAGAAGCATTTCCTGTCTCAAATTTAATAATAGTGTTCATAGTAACCACTGGTGAAAGTTCTGAGAAGCACCCTCGTCAATCAATTGACAAGGGTTTACTTTCGTCACAGAGCCTGGGTCTCTGGGCTACTGTTGATTGGACATTATAGGATATGCGCCGAAGGCGTTTATTTATTTTCGAAGGCCAACATATTTATGTACGTGACGTAATGTAGACCTCATCGAATTACCTACTTCTATGTGTCGCCTTCATGTGACAGTAAATCACCAAAAACCATATCGTATTTTACTTGTAAAACTAATATTTTATCCACAATAGATGTTTTTCAATCTGTTATTTGTCACGAAGGTGCTTCCTTTGTTTCTTTTCTTCCACCTAACGTACCTATCTTATTCGTTATTTTTATTTTGCTAACACTTCAGTATAATCATAGATATAGGAAATTTCCTATAAGTATAATACCACATAAAACTGTTACGAATAGTTATTCATTTAGTCATTTGTTTTTGAAAAAGCCAACGTTTTGGGACTTTTTACAGGTCACAAATTATAAGCGGATCTTTCTATTTTTTTCATATTAAATGTGTAGTTCTTTTTTCATGTAACACACATAATATTATATTATGATGATATAACATACATTGCGACTACTGCTTACTCTTTAGTAGCAGTAGAGCTCTTTGTGAATGAGTTCGTCTAGGGAAGTATTGCCCCATTCCCTACTTCTGCTGCCAAGCGGTAATGAAGAGTATGGGTACTGATGAAATTACAGGCACATGAGACTTGCCAACTTGTGGTGAGGGCACAGTGGCATTGCCCCTCGGACCTCTGCGATTACAAGCTCTGAGTGGCACTGCAACTGTCATGGACAGGCGTGTAGCTTACCATCAGGCGCACGACTTGTTCGCCTCGTCACTTGATATTATAAAAAAACTTTTTAATAATACATCTCAAAGTCACTGTGACTTTGATTTGTTCTGTGTAATTTTAAAAATGTTTATGTACACTTCATATACAATACACCATAAATTCACCATACACTCATTTGTTACTAATATAGTATAAGGTTGCTTACTAACAAACTATGGACCTATGGTGGCTGAAAATAAAAGATTTTTATTTTTATTTTATTTATTTATTTATAATAAATATAACAGACACAGTCAGGCGAGAAATTACCAAACGTCACTTTTAAACATCTCGTAACTGGCGATCTTAGTCTATTTTTTTCCATCCTATAAGCTGGCAATGATACCCTAACTTAGTATATTTGTTTTTTAATTTTAGTTGTTATTATTTGTTTTATTACTCAGTAGTTTTTTGTAGTTGTATATATTTTTTTTTAACTTTGACTTCGTTAAGCACTTTATGTTGTTTACCAAAGGTGGAAATTCGTAAATGGCATTTGATCACGCTTATTTAAGTTTAACTATAATTGTATTAATTAAATGTTTTTTTCCAAAAATGTGTAAAAAAAATCAGCCTTTACACTGCCTGAATTATATTAAATTCCTGTGTACTTCACAGGTTACTCTGGAGAGGAGCTGAATACTATCTTTACACTTGGATTTACCAACACCACAGATTAATCGAGTTACCCTGGGATAGTGTATTAACGTGGTACGTTACGGCCATTGGCGTAGACTTCTGTTACTATTGGATGCACAGAATGTGTCACGGTGAGTTATTGTATTCAAACTTTACAGCATAATAAAATATAGCGTGCTCTAAATTACCTCTAAATATATATACAGAATGTAATAGAAGCACTAGGCTCCTTGTGAAAGGGTTCGTCCAGAGAAGTACTGCCACCTTACCTATTTCTGCTACGAAATTCCACAAAATTTTACATTTTTGCTACATTACCTAGGCAAAAATTTATTTTTAAAATTCGAATGAATTTATCTGATTTTTTTCTCTTCCGATTTCCGTAAAAATACGTTAGGGGACAATTTACAATAGTAGAGTATAAGTATTATTTTGTTTCTAAAAGGCAATGTTTATATATTTTGGCGTTTTCATTTGTTTTGGCCAATATTGCAATTGTTTTAAAATCATAAAACAAAAGCAGCGCAATCGACCCCAAACAGATATGTAATGTAATGCTCTATGATTTTTTTTGGTCTGCCCGATTCCGCAGTGGGAATTTTAACGACTTGCGAGCTATTTCTAAATAACGGCTGTCTATTCCAACTACAGTGAAATTTGCAGAATGGTTTGATGTAACTGTGTCCACAATACCGGTCGATTTCACCCTAAAGTTAGAATTTAAAAATCGAACTACCATAAAGAAGTAAAGAAAAATTATTTATTATATATTATATATTATTAAAACGGTGATTTACAGACAAAACATAACAAAAATAAAATAAATTAAGTTAAAACACAATGTAAAAACAATTATATTTAAAATGTTACCATAATGGTCTCCTTTTTGTCAGCTTTTTGTAACGAGATGGAATATGTCTCGTTACGTTGGTTTTCAGTCAAGCCGGAAAAATGACAGAGATGATGTCGCTTTGCCCAAGTAAAAAAAGATAAAATAAACTCAACTAAGTCCAAATCAAAAGTAATAAAAATGTACGCATAGGTTAGGAGGCATGTGGTTAATAACCCACATACAAAATCGGAACTGATGGGGCATGTATTATGTGTTCTCACGTTTGTGAGATGGATGTTTAGTGGGATGTTAATTCCATTAGTAAAGTGGCTCTGATCTGATTACACGTAAACACAGCACGGCAGCCATTTCCGTTCGACAACAGAGCAAATAGTAAAAATTTCTTAAAAGATGATCTGAAGGCATTTCATATTTTTTTTATAATATCAAGTGACAGGACGAACAAGTCGTGCGCCTGATGGTAAGCTATACGCCTGTCTATATCAGTTGCAGTGCCACTGAGAGCCCATCACCCTGAGACATAAGTTGATAAGTCCCATGTGCCTGTAATTTCACCAGCACCCTGACTTACCCTTCAAAACCGGAACATAGTAATGCTGACATTACTGCTTGGCGGCAGAAATAGCGGTAAGGTGTCAGTACTTCCCTGGAGGAACTTTCACAAGGAGCTGTACTGCTACTAAAAACATTGATAGTATGTCATTTCACCACCAATAAAAGATATGTAATTTTTTATGTTACGTTGTGGCATTTTTTAATGAATGTTAACTAAGGTTAAAAAGTATTTTATTGTATCATTACTTATGATAAAATATGTATTATTTATAATAATTACAAACGATCAGTGATGAAGGCTAACGACAAACACAAACAGTGCCCATATAAAACTTACCCAGAAAAAATTGTTGATAACTGTTTGCTGCTCCAGTCGTAGAGTATTCTGCCAGTTTATAGATATAGTAGTAGCTATCTGATCATGACGTCTGATTACTGCTATTTCTACATGTAAACCCCAGAATGCACACTTTCGAACAAACCGTCTTCACTTTACCGGAGTTGGAGATTGAAGCCTTAGCAACTTGGCGCCTACCGACTACAAATTTTTCCACAATTAAGATAATTATCTACAAAGAAAACAAATTAGTTCCCATGAAGTAGTCGAAAATGAGTTCTAAGTGGATTTCCCTTCTCCATTATCCTACGGCAAAGGAGTAAACGAGCTTGAAACAAGTTGACAGAAGTATATTCGTGACACGGATGTATAATTTCATCAAATAAATGTAATGTTATTTACGAAACATGTTTTATATTTGAATTATTTTATATATAAAGACAATTACTCTAGATTTTATAGGTGTAATCCATTTTAAACTGGATTTTTGAGCATATTTTGTTTAGCAAACTAATCTCGTTCTTACCATGATTCAATGTTGTTTATGGCTTCAGTCAGTTCTCATAAACATGCTGAAAATTTGTCTGGAATTCGTTATTCAAATCTTAACTAACATCAGAGAGCGATATTAATAAATTTACGTTCAAACCGGGGTGGTGCGGGATGCTCCGATCCCTTTTTTGTAAAACATTCGTTAGCATGTAGCTTGGATAGCGCCATTAGTGGCGTGACGTCACGAACGGCGGTTACCGTTTCCTAAATCCTGATTTATGCATGCCTATTTTTCAATGACAATAATGTTTTCACAATGGAGTTTATATCCATTTGTGAAGACTATATTAAAAAGCATATAATTGTTGATGCTTGTCAAAACTATAGTGGTTAATTTTATATTGATATACTTCACAAACAGCTTGGATTACATCACATAGACTAACCTGATAAGTTTAACTTACGACAGGTTAAGGGGCGCAAGAACACGACCGTAAATAATTCAAGTAGACGTTAAGACATAGTTACCCAAAATTTAATCTGTTTGAGGGTGGAAACCGCGTTTAATGGTTTGAAATTCAAACTTGAATGTTGGAATAATAATCTGGGTCGCTTAACAATGTCTTCTAATAACTAAACCTAAACCGTAAAACACGTAGTTTTGTAAAGAGTTTTTGAATGCTACAAATTATTTCAATTACAACTGTTTTGGACAGCTAAACAAAAGAGGTCCAATTAGCAAACGCTCAAGAAGTTTTTATTCAATTCTGACTTTCGGAACCATTTAAATCAGAAAGGGAACGCAGTCGTGTTTTGTTTCGCTGTCGCTTTTTTTCTTCAATTGCGACCCGCCAATTTTGTTTTCTTTTTACAAGGCTTTTGAATTATAATTTTAATGCCGAAACTATTATTTCAACTTAATTAATATCTACTTATTTTGTCATTGTTTTGTATTTTTATTCCACAGAGGTGCACATATTATGGGCGCAACATCAAGTACATCATACGTCTGAAGACTTCAACATGGGTGTTGGGATCAGACAATCAGTTTTGCAAGGATGGTGTGGATTTGTAAGTACCCACATCTTAGATTTTTTACTGTACTAATAAACTACGTGGAAGTTGAAAAATGGTACCAAACTCTCACGAAACCTAACAAGCTATATGGAAAGAAATTCATATGGCTTCTTAGAGAAGAAAATGACATAAAATTCTTAGGCCCGACACTTTGTTTTTATAGCTACGACCACTAAAACTGAAATTTAAACTACTATGTCATAACATTAAAGTATATTACTATTCGCCACCTAAAAATTCCCAGCCGTGCCGTTCACATTAGTGAGAGCCGGGCTTTAGTAGATTTGTATAGTCTTCAAGCTTGTTTGGATCAAAATAGTGCACTAAGTGGCAAGTATACCATTTAGTTTGAGGCAGTCACTGCCTACCAGTGTGTGGTCTAAATCACTTGATACTATATTCTGTATTCTATCCTTAAGCTGGGCATGGTTCAGATTCAGATTCATTTATTTCTCAAATATGATAAGATTAATTGTCAAAATATCTCAAAGTATAAGAAATTATATTGAGATTGTCAAACACAAATTAAAATTATAAGATGAAAAAAACACAATATTAAATTAGAAAATTCATTAGTAATAATATTGTTGTCATTAAATTACATATGAAATATCATTCTCCATTAAGGATAGTATTAAGTTGATAATAAATATACAAAAATATGTCAGTGCAATAAAAATTGAAATGAAGTACAAAATACTCAATAGCGTTACATTTTTAGGTCCATGAATTCATTTACAGAGTATAAAGCAGGTATAAAGGATTTTCCAAGAAAAAGTCTTTCAGCCGGCGGCGCCTAAATGGTTCGTCAGATGTTCAAGTCTGACAGTAGCGGGTATATAGACACTCATAATATGTAGGTCCGATGACATGCGGGTTTTTCTCTGCAAGTGCCATGGCACTTACAGAGTCGGGGGACTGTTCTCAAATGACCGGCGGAACGGGATGCCAGAAACATTTACAGTAAATGAAGAAAGACTATTTCTAACGTACATTATAATTTCGTATAATGTAAAGTAAGTAGTCCGTCATTATGCGTGCTTTATATTTATTCTTCTCTCTTTATATTTATTTTCGTCGCAAATTACCAACGTTACTGAAATAAATCTTTGGAATTAAGCAAATGTTGTCCACGCAGCGTGCACATGAATCCATTAAGGTAATAAATGATAGGGGAGGAGAAGAGGGAAGCCCACATAAATATTTGTACATCTAAGTATGTGTACTTATAGGTACAGATATACATGTCTGCATATGATACTCTTGCTTGTGTTATGAAAAATTATCAAAGTCTTACCTTTATCACCCACCGGCTTTAAATATGTGATATAACTGCCCGCCTCAGTCGCCGAACGGTTACCATGCTGGTTTGCCACGCGCAGGTACCGAGTTCGATTCCCGGACCGGTAGAAATATTTGAATGACCTACATTTATTTCTCTCGTGCGTTTGGCTGTAATTTGTGGTTGTTTATATGTATGTCCATGGCACCCGGGATACAGGGTATTCCTAGTGCGGGGCTATGAGTGTGTGCGTTTAAAAAAAATCATACAATAAATATACTAATATGAATATATTTATTATACGCTATGTTATTATGTGGCTTAGTTGGCATAGCGTCTGGCACGGTTTGGTAGGAGACGTCGGTTCGATCCATAGATATAGGAAAGTTCGATCTTTGTATTAATAATTATAACAAACTAGTGGAGTAATTTCACAAAAAATAATTATATATCTTGGTGGTGAAACATCTTGACATTCAATAAAAACTTATTTACAATTAAAAGCGACATCTCTAGCCAGGGCTGGCAGCTGTAAATGTATCTAACTGGGTGACGAAATACTTTCATAGAATTATCACAGATGGGGGCTACGTCTAAAACTTCGTTAAAAACCAAAAATAATGATCCGACAACAAGCATATAGAGAAGTTCGTGACTGGTGGCTGGTTCGTTCCGTTGCTTAGTTGGCATCTGGCGCTGTTTGCTAGGAAACGTAGAACTTTTCTAGGTGTTCGATATTTGTATTAATAATAATGTTAGTAATTCAAAAGGCAGTCTACTTAGAAATTCAAATAAAGTCGAAATCAAAGTAATATACGTTACGTATCTATTCTTACGTTTTTGGTACTGCTACACATTGGAAATTAAATATTTTTTTCGGGCTACAATTGCGTATGTTTGTTTTTTTTTGGTTCTTAGAAAAAACAAATATACGCGATTTAGTTCCGAAAAAATACTTAGTTTCATTTTCAATATTTATTTACGATTTAAAATAGTATAAACATCACCCTATTACTAGTCATCTGGTTAGTTACGATGTTACGCTGCTAGTTATCCCGTTAGTTGCTATGTTAGTCTTTGAAGTTACCCGCTTAACTTTTAGTTACATTGCGCTGTTAGTTTTGGGAGTTAGATGGCAGTGGATACACTAGGAAATAGATTTATTGAAGCATTCAATCGCTGAAAAACTCATAGACCAACGAATAAGCAGTCTTTTAACCTTTCCATACACTCTTCAATTATTTACGTCGGTATGTAATTATTTACGTCACGTACTTTTTTAAGCGTGTAAAGGTAGACAGAATATTTCAAAATATTATATGAAAATCTACTTAGGAATATAAAGTACCCTATTAAAAAGAACATTTTATACGTGTTTGTCCTTTATTATAATTAGTTTACGTTATAGTCTTAAAATTCCTAAATGTTAATGGTGAATTAAGATTTCATCATATTTTAACTGCATAGATAACAAATTTAGTAGTCAGTACGCTCCTTGTGAGAGATTTCTTTATTTTGTATTACTGCTTTCCTATTTTTAACCGACTTCAAAAAAAGGAGAAAGTTCTCAATTCGACTGTATGTTTTTCTATTGTATGTATGTTACGCGATAACTGAACCGATAAATGAACCGATTTTCATGATTATTTTTTTGTTGGAAAGAGGGTACCTCGATAGTGGTCCCATTTAAATTTGAAGAAAATCATCCACCTCTAAGGGTGGCTGTTCACGCATGAAGATTCATTTTTATAAATAGCGCCTAAATTGTATTATAAGGAGCAATTATTTTAATGGTTGATTTTGCTATTCTCCAATTCAAGGCGTTTTTGTCTCTCAATATACTTTGAGTAGTGAGAACCGTTTTTTATTTTCTCCTATGTCAAGTACCGTATAGTAGCGAACTAGGGGATGAATCCTGAATTCCGGTAACCGATTCCAATAAAACTTGGTAATTATATGTAATTCCACGTAATTTTGAGGTCGGTTCTTTTAGTACTCTGTACTGAGATTATGAAGGATAAGGATACTGGTGAAATTGCCGGCACATGAGACTTATTAACTTTTGTCTCAGAGTGACAGGAAAAGTAGGAGTCTCCCTGGTTATCTTTGCATTTTAAAAGTCTGAGTGGCACTGCAAGTGCTATGGACAGGCGTGTTCCGTCACATGGTACTATAAAAAGAAAAAAATCTTATTTTTTTGTAATAAATGCTCATTGCAAACTTGAAAATAGATTTAATAATAGCACCAAAATATGAAATTGATGGTATTTAGTAAGAGAAATTTAAAAATAGAAAATTATATTTGTAGCGGATTGTTAGTTTGAAAGATGCCCCTAGATGGCGTTGACCATTTTTAAGTCATCTGTAAAGTGAGCAGATGTGGCGATTTTAAATTTAATGTGTGCACTAAATAAAAAATAGCCAATAAAGTTACGTATATTTATTAAAATAAATACAAATAAAAAACATAATTTCAAAATTTGAAATCTTAAGATATTATTATTTGAAAAAATAAAAATAATATGAATTTTATACTAAAAACATTTATTTAATTTGAAGTCGACTAGAATTTTAGAACTAATAAACACTTCTGTAAAATAAATGGGTGCCTAAATCTTTTCTTTCAAACTTTTCAAATTTTATAGAAAAGAAGTTTTGTATGCATAATATTTACATGGATTTGGAAGTTCTAAACCTTTATGTGCTGCAACGCCGTGGTAGCCTAAGGTCGCAAATTCGGAACAGGGTGGCGCGTTCAGCGCGGAGTTCAAAATTTGTGCATACATTGCGCGCAAACGTGTGTCTTGTGTTGGATACATTTAACACAAGACACAATAAACACGCAACACTTGAAGCGCCACTGTTGTGAATCTGTGGCCTAATGGTTTGACCTACCGCCTCTCAATACGGGCTCGTACCTCTGAAATTCTCGGAACTTATGTGCAAAATGTAATTGAAATTTATCATGAGATTTTCGTTGAAAGAAAACATAGTGATGAAACCTGAACGTGGAAGAAGATCCACAAACATCGGAAAACTTTTTTTTATAATATTAAGTGACAGGAGGAACAAGTGTGCTTGATGGTAAGATACATGCCTGTCCATAACAGTGCAGTACCACTCAAAAACCTGAGAGGCACTTCCACTTCGCCCGTCACGAGACATAAGTTGATAAATCCCATGTGCCTGAAATTTCACTAGCACCCTTACTCTTCAAAACTGGAACACAGTAATGCTTATATTACTTGGCGGCAGAAATAGGTAAGGTGGCAGTGCAGTACTTCCCTGGACAAACTCTTTCACAAGGAGCTCTACTGCTACAAAAGTGTGAAAACGTGTGAAGTCCTCAACCCGCATTGCCCAACAGTAGGACGTATAATTGGATTGATGATGATTATGCGCAACAAGCAATAAACCATAGCTTTAGCCATCTCATGTACCGCTCCTGTCTTCATGAACGATAATGCTTGCGCACACCGAGCGGATAAAGTAGACGCTTACCTGACTGACGCTGTGATTCGCCGTTTAGACTGACCACACGAAATCCCGACCTCAATTCCCTGTGTGTTAGAGCAGTATATCCAACCCTACAGAATATCCGAGACCATGAAACTGTTATTATTGCCAAATTTGAATGTATTCCTCGAGAAATCATAAAAAAACCTTATTCAAAACATGCCACGAATAATTACAGAAGTCATCTCGTTAAGGTTCCTTGATTCAAATTTTCATTTTTCTTTTGTAACTATTGCAGGACAATAATAATTGTCAGTTAAAGGTCACTTTTTGTTGGAGAATTGAGTACAAAACTAGGAAAAAATTCAAATTAACAAAGGCTAATTTCCATACCAAAAGTTTTAAAATCTTCGTTAATCATGTTTATTTCATTTTGTTGCATTAAGATATCACTTTTTTTATGTTACTAGGTGACGGGACGAACAAGTTGTGCGTCTGGTGATACACGGTACCCTACCCCTACCCTGCCTATATCTGTTGCTGTACTCAGAGCCATAAATTGCAAAGATTTGAGGAATACTGTCACTGCGCCCGTCACCTGAGACATAAGTTGGGGCTTTTCAAGGCTAGAGTCAAAGTCAAATGCGCACTTATTTTTAATAAAAAAGTGGCAGTACTTCCCTGGACGAACTCTTCCACAAGGAGCTCTACTGCTACGAAGATAGCTACACTAGTACTTTATCTCGAAAGACTCGTAGGTGCCCATTATAATTGCATTATGAAACAAAACTAGAAGTGGCCAACATTTAGGCGCTATTTCGGGATTTAATTACATTCAGAAAATTTGTGTACAATTATACGATTACATTACTCGGGCTTAAAGATAGTACATTGAATAGTCAAGAAAACCATATTTCAAATATAAATGTAATGTATAATGGTAGTAATACATCATGGTATTCAATAATCTTAATATTACAATTATTAAAGCGACTTCTCTTGTCACCCACTGGTAGCTGTAAAGTTACCTGGCTGAGTGAAGAAAAACTATTTTTTTTATTTAATAATAGGGGTTAAAGTATGAAATTGCCGATTTGTACTGAAAATCTAAATTGTTTATTTTTTAAATTTTTAACAAATTTATTTAATCAAAATAGTTGCCATTATTATCTATACATTGCTGCCATCTAATGGGAAGGTTATTAATGCCTTTGCGATAGAACTCCGACGATCTAGACTGCACAAACTGTGTGAAAGCATTTTGTACTGCCTCCTGGGAAGAAAACTTCTTGTCACGTAGATAATTGTCCAAATCACGAAAAAAATGGTAGTCCGTTGGAGCAAGGTCTGGTGAATACGGAGGATGACGAATGGTTTCTAACTGCAGTTCCTGAAGGGTCAAAATGGTTTCTCGTGCTGTGTGAGGTCTCGCGTTGTCGTGGAGCAATAATGGTGAAGATGGATTCATGAGTCGGGGCTGTTTTACTGCTAGTTTTGTCAACATGGTTCGGAGTTCGGCACAATAGACATCTGCCGTTATTGCTTGACCAGATCGGAGAAAACTATAGTGAATAACACCATGCTGAGACCACCAAACAGTTACCATTACCTTTTTATTGGTAAGTTTTGCTTTAGGACACTGTTGTGGCATTTGACCTGGGGTCAGCCATTGCATTTTTCTTTTCCGGTTATCATAAAGAATCCACTTTTCATCACATGTTACAATTCGATCCAATATTCCTTCATTTCTGTACCGGTTCAACAAGGCAACACAAGTTTCAACACGCGTTTCTTTCTGCAGATCAGTCAAATCATGAGGCACCCATTTTTCGTATTTTTTTATTTTATTGATTTGACGCAAGTGAGTCAATATTGTGGGTAAGGTAACGTTAAACCATGCCGCTAATTCCTGGGTAGTTTGACTAGGATCGGCTTCCACTATCTCTCTTAATTCATCGTTATTCACCTGTGTGGGCGGTCTTCCTCGTGACTCGTTCTTTAAGTCGAAATTTCCATCACGAAAGCGTTTAAACCAAAATCGCACGGTGCGTTCATTAGTAGACCCCTCTCCAAACGCAGCATTGATATTGCGGGCTGTTTCTGCCGCGTTAGTTCCGCGTCGGAACTCGTATTCAAAAATCACTCGAATTTTCGCAGTATCCATCTTTCTTGTCTAAATTGAATAACAAAAACAATTGAAAGTCGATATTCAAATGTTTCAAATTAAAAAAAAAATAAAATCACAGAAACCATTTGAAAAAAGTTTCATTCGAAAACCTCAAACCATGAAGATTCTATGAAAATTCAAAGAACCTATTGCAATAAAACGGCAATTTCATACTTTAACCCCTAATATATTTTACAATGGTTTATTACATACATGCAGCTGTAGCTCTAAGGGTTTATCCGTCCACAGCGATTCGTTCTAACAAATGTTACCTTAGTTTATTTTTACATTTTACATTTTCCCTCTACATATAGATCTTGAATGCACGCAGACAATTCATTTAATAATTTAGGAATTATATAATCTAATTTTTGAGTACCATATACATTATTTGTTTTAGGTAGTAAATATGTTTTGGTTTCTAAGATTCTTAAATTTTTTGGTCCCTGGTATTCACATAATTTATGTACATAATTAAATTCAGTCAAAATTGAAAGTTTGACTTTATCAAAAACACTCATTACTTGACAATAGCTAAATAACCCAACATTATTATATTTATATTTATTTTTAATGCGATTTAAAACAATAGTTTTTTAGATTCTTATTTGTAAGTTATAGATTTCTTAAGAGACGTATTATATGTTAAACCATAACTACTTATACAGATCACAGAATCGGCTAGGGCCATATACATTAATCTTAGAGTTTTGTAAGATACCTTATATTTAAGCACTGAAAATTTTCCTAGAACAGATCTCAATTTTGCATATAAATAGTTTTTGTGTGGTCCCCAGCTAAATCTGTCATCGATCACAACCCCTATATACATACGACTATCTACTGCTTCTAAAGATAAATGTGAGAAATGATTGTCGGCTTGAAAGGTACTTTATTATGTGATGAGCGTATGTGTATAAGTTTTGTTTTTTACGCATTTATCACTAATCCTATCCATATAAATAATTGATTAAAATCATATTCACATATATTCACATTCGTATCAGTCCGGGCTACATTTAAATCTTTATTGACTACTAAAAGACAAGCATCATCAGCGAACTGATATACAGAACCTCTTTTAATGACATTCGACATATCATTCACGTAAAGTAAATATTCTGTCGGCCCAAAAATCGAGCCTTGTGCTATGCTTTGTGCATAGATTTGTCATCCAAAAACAAAGATCGCAACAAACACATAGAAAAACGAAGGCGCTAGTTCGGACCTATTTCCGCTTCTTATGGACGGCCAATAACTTCCGCAAGTTAAGAGTTAATGATTACAATGAAATATTAATTTTTTCACAGGTCTTTTATCTCCCACTGGCGCTGGCAATACCCCCATCGCAGTTCGTGATGCACCATCAGTTCAGCTACCTCTACATGTTCTGGATTCACACTAAGGCTATTAAGAGCCTTGGACCTTTAGAATATATTTTGAACACGCCTAGTCATCATCGAGTGCACCATGGTAAGATAATATGTCTAAATTTATCACACCAACATTTAGTACTACGAAGTAATGTACTCGAAGAAAAACAAAGTGTATGTGTGAATATATTTTTCTTTTTATTTATTTTGAGACTGAAAAGAGCCGCTGGGCTATAATAATAAAAGGGAGAAGGGAACCATTAAGGTAATTTTCCTTCATCTTCTGGAACGTTCCATATCTTCCATCTCATCTGATCATAATCTGTTCGACTGACTGCAGATTTTGAAGCCAAAAATAAAATAGGAACTTGTTTTGAATTTTGATCAGACGAAAATTTTTGCTTGTTGTGTGCGATATAAGCTATTGGTAGCATATAAAATAAATAAAATTAAAATTAGTGGGTACGGATCTGAACTCGCACCTCTGTGTTTCTCAGAATTTCTGTTTGAAATTTAATTTTAAATTTACTATGAGCTTTTTGGTGAAGGAAAACATTATCATGAAACCTGCACGTCGAAGAAGGTACGCAACCTTCGGAAAACACGTGAGGTCTCCTCCCGCACGGGACCAGCGTGGCGGACTATGGCCTAATCCCGTCCCTGAGCATCTCTCACTGAAGTGGGACGTATGAATGGGTTGAAGATGATAATGATAATTATATGACAATGCCATCTAATCCTTAGGACCGTACCATAGGTATTAGTAATGTAGTATAACCATAACGTATTAGTTAACATTGAAAAGTATGGCGACTCTCCAGTATGTTACTTATTTTATCACCTAAGTCGTTTCTATTAACGATAAAAAGACTCAAAGTCTACAGTAAATATCACTAAGACCTTTGTAAATAAACAATCCTATTCTCGATTGTATTCGTAACATAATCGGCAAAGATTTTTAACGCAAAAACAAAAATTTGCAAGATCTTTTTTATTTCTTCACAGCCGTGTAAAAATAATGACATGTATTTATCTCTCATGTAATCGTACATCAAAAGTACTTTTATCATAATAATGTGAAATGAATTATGTATATACGAAATGTATAACTCTCTAATTTTTAGCACAAAGAAGTTAACGACTAATTTCTTTCTCTCTTTTTTCTCTTACTTTAAACGCCTCTCCTGCAAAAATTGGCATTTTACAGATGTGTCCTCATTACAATGAGGGTGCGAATTGTAGCCACTAATTTGTCATATCTGTCATTGTCATACGAGTTGACGTGGGACACCTGCCTACGTCCACTTATTGCTAAGTGCCGACCAGTTTCGATTGTGAAGTTCTGAGAATACCAAAAATTGTTTTCTATCGCACGATGTTGACCCCGTGGTTAATTACGGAAGAAAAAATAATGGAAGTGCGTTAAGTCTCGATTACTATCGGAACCGCTGTCGCCAATACTCACACATTATATATATAATTTAAAGCACGATGAAACCTTGATAATAAGTGATAATCGTAGTTTCAAATTTAAAAAGAAATAACAAATTCTGGACTGTTAATATAATTTAAACTTCACCCTGTTGGCTACCCTTGAAAGCTCAATACCATCAATACCTATTGTTATTGCAAGTTACGACGCTTTGATTTTTATATTGAAATTTCAATCAATGTGCTGCCATCTAGCGGTTAATAGCTGAACGACGACAAATTCGAAATGTTTACTGAGTTCTCCAAACAAGAAGCGACTACTTGTTTGCGATATTTACGCATCTTGTAAAAACATGATTACGATAAACAGAAAATTGAAAATTTATTAAAATTAACTAAAATAAGACTGGATGATGATACGAAACACCATCATAGTTAATATTACAAGCTATTATATAAGCAACTATCATTTTTGGACTCCAAAGTAGCGAAATAAGGCATTTTCTACGATTTTCGAGAGATTGTGCGAGATAATTGATAACGTATAAAACGAAAATAGGAGACTGAGCTAAAGTTTGCGGAACTCCGCGAACTGTTGACACTTGTGGCATGCAAACTAAGCACTTCTACTGTGTTTATTGTTCTGTGCCATTTATCGTGCTATTACCCGGTAAGATAAAGTGGTTCAACAAGTTGATTTAATTTGAGACGTCTTAAATCTCTAGGGCCTGTTATTATTTTCCTTGAAATCTGTGAAAGTTACTTACTGGAGAAAGTTTTAACTGTAACACGGTACATGGAACCCAGTATCACCTAAGGAATTGCCCTAACGAAGTTGTGATTTATATCCCTCCTGAGATGTTAGGATCCAATAGAAAAGGTACGCATTTCGTTTTTTAGTTTTCAAAGTAGATGCTAAATTATTAATGCTTTTACTTTACATCCTTTGTCTACAGTATCTACGCCCTTACCTACGCCTTATTTGTAATGGAGAATAATGTCTGATCGTAAAGTCATCGAAATACTTTCTTTTTACAAAATTCATCAGTCAACCCTTTTTTATTTTTTTATTTATTGTACAGATAAAATAAATCGATGTCCAAATCACCTTAGAAGACAAACTTATTATGTCGGCAAAACTTGGAAATACAACGTTAATATTATTTGTTACGCACCCTTTCTCCGAATCCTGAAATTCCTTGTAAGGGAATCTAGAGCTCTTTGGTACTTAAAAGTTTCCAAAAGAACTCAGATTATTTGAAAATATTCAGTCCCTTCCTTGATTTTCAAATCAAGGAAGGGACTGAATATTTAAAGTACAGTATAGGAAATTTAAGCTTTGTTTTCTTAAGGATGTTATTTTAACTCGTTACAGTATATCAGTCACTCATGTGATGAAAAAATTGTCAATAAAAATACTTTACATAGCCACCTCGGTGTGAATAGACGTAACTTACGATATTAAC